GAATGAATAATATAATCCAATAGGATAAAATCTAAAGTTATGTGTCAGTTTAATCTGAATTAGATTTCACTAAATGAAAAACTAAGAGAAATTGATTTTCCTTTTTAAATGTATATCATTTAAAACATATAAACAATAAAATCAGCAATTTTCATTCCTTAAGTGTTTAAAATAAATAAACCTTACAGTTTTACCAAATATATGGGATGAAGTTTGGGAAAATGCAACTAAAATATATAAAAGCTATTAGTTTATTACCTTAAATTATAGATTTGCAAAAATAAATAATTTAAGGTAATAAACTAATAGCTTTTATATATTTTAGTACCAAACAAGATCTAACAACGAGGGAGGCAGAAGATATATAGACAGCTAATGAAAACAAGCTGAGTTTTGCATTGACATGCCATCTTGGTAACTTTTCAAGTTTTACTTCCACATAAATGAAACCAACCAGTGAGGGAGGCAATCCAGAAGGCATGTCATTTGGAATTATGAAATCATGGCTCTGATAAACCAGGAACCATGAAACCTACTGGAAGCTGCTGTTTCAGAGTTGTGACCTCTAAGTCTGCATGGTAAAGGAGACATAACCTGGTATTTTACATAAACAACCCTTTAAAACTGGCTTTTTAATTATGTTTAATAATTTTTGGGAGAAAAGAAATTAAGTAATTTTCATTTTGACTCCTTTTCATACCTCTCATTCTCTTGTACACAAGACAGCTTGACTTTTGTGTATGAGCATTCATGTGGATGTAGCTTAACTGTTTGCTGATGTCGTCAATATACCACAATTTGCCGGTTTGTTAGACAATTCTATTCAACAAATGTAGAATAGCTCTGCTAGTCAGAATTTCCCCAAAACTTGGCTTTAATGGTGCAGTGAAAGTTTACCAGAAAATTATGACTATATTAAATAACTAGAAGACTTTCAAATCAAGGGTAAAACTAATAAATTATTATCAGTATAATAATTGTATTATAACTGTAATTTGTTTAATGACCAGGGTTTTAGCCTCTAATCTAAAAGGTTGGACCCCTGAATCCGGCTGTTAAAAATTCACTTGTCTTCCACCAACTTAGCAATTTAGACCATGGCTATCAGCAACGTTGTTAATCACCAACCTAATAAATGTGTCTCTGTTCATTTGGATGCTACTGAAAGATGAGTGAATCCAGCCTGAGTGATAAGTTATTCACTATGCAAAATAAACACAAAAGACCACGGGTTAAAATACAGTGGTAGAATCACACAGTATTATACCTAAAAACTAAGTAAACACTAAACACTACTGAAAAACAGTAAAGTTTCATTAAGTTTATGGTGAAAAATGAATAATTACTCAGGAATGGATTACATTACGATGAGGCTGAAATAGATTAGCTCTGCTGGTCTCAGGGGTTCTGATCTGGATGGGTCCAACTGAAAAATAGACAGGGTTAGCGTGTGATGTAGCCTCTAGCATGAGGTAGCTGGAGTTGCAATGGTTGGTCCATTGTCTCATCATGTCATGCTTGGACTACTGTAATTCCCTACATCAGCTTTGAATGGCTCAAAATGCAGCTGCCTTTTCTAGCTGGCAGAGGCAGGCGTGAACACATCACCCCCATCCTGGCTGCCCTTCACTGACTCCTGCTGGATTTCAGGATCCAGTTTAAGATTCTGCTGCTGGCTTTAAGAAAAAAAAAAAAACATTTTAATTCAACTCTAGAACAACTATTCAACATCCTGGTGTTTTCTGCATCGGTAGATCTATGAGGAAGTACTGCTGAATCTGAGTTCTGCTGTACCAAAGTGATCTACTTTGTCTGTGCTTCTGGGACAGGAAATTCCGAAGGAAAAAAAAAGAAAGAAAAAAAAAACACTGGACTTTGTTTTGGTTTGTTTTTCACTTTTTTTGAAATGACTATGACCTGGATGACTGAGAATCTTCACCATTACTAGAGAGAAAATGCTATAGGGATCCAAATTGAAGGACCAGGGAGGTTGATAAACTGCAGAATATAGTGAGACAATCATTACACCCACTAAATAAGGTAAACACGCACATATGGAGTTAGATTTGTTTATGTATTATTCAATCAAAAAAGGTTGCTTCAATCACAAAAATTTTAACAAAAAAAAATTCACTTCAATTTTAAAAAAAAACTTTAATTTTTTTTTTTTTTTTGAAGCAACATTGTTTAAAAAAAAACTTGCAGCTCCAGATGTTTAGATGGCATTCCCTTTTCTCTTTCTTAATTAAACCTAACTGAGCTCTGACCTATATGCATCAGTAAAATGAGGCTTGGCTGGAGATGTGGCAGTACTCATTATTTACCACCAACAATCCAGGGCAACTATCAAATTCTTTTTAGAACATTTAAAAAAAAATACAACCTAAAATCTTGATGAAGAGGTTTGAGGAAGAGTCTGGTTCAGATCAAAAGGTTCCACATAGTATCAGAATGTCCATGGCTTTATTCGGGATTCCAGAACCAGCTGAGCTCACAAACAGCAGTAAATATCACACAGTTTGAGTTTTTCTGCTCTTGTCCTTTAGATCTGTTCAAACTCTTTAAAGCTCCTTAGCAAAAATGTGATTTACACTAAATTATTTTGTGACTCAATAAAAATGATAAAAATATTAAAAAAAATAAATAAATAACCTACTGATATATCAGTAGCATTGTAATGAATTATCAACAACTTGTTTTACATATTTTTTGCTTTGTTATATCTGCAATTTTTTTTCACACTTTTTAAAAGTAATTTATTACAATTGATTGAAATTTTATTACGCCTTGTTTGAAATGAAAATGGCGCCCTCTTGTGTCCAAGTCCTCTTTTTTTTCCACAAAAACTTAAGCTTGATGGTTTCATCCAATGTTTCAGCAAAAAAAAGCATAGAAATTTCCTAGAAATAGAAATTGAATGTGATTTGAACTATTAAGTTAGTAAACAGTCTTGTCTATATCTCCTGCTGGACAGCCTTACATCCTGCTAACATCTGCTAGATGTCTTTTCCTCTCACCTCCAGGTCCTTCTGCGTCTCCATCCTCTCTGCTGCACCTGAGACGATGTAATTACCTTTACGCTCATCCACATTGCACACGTAACAGATGCTCTGCTGATCAGTGCAATAGATATCAGAGGCTACATCTTTAGGTCCAGTATAGCTGTGATTAGAAGGAAAAGCTCCTAACCCAATCTGAGGACAGCTGTGGATCTCCCTTTGTTCTTCTGCATCCCAGTGCTCCTCGATACACTTCATGCAGTAGGTGGGTCCACAGGGAATAGTCACCAGATCCTTCAGCAGATCCAGACAAATTGAACAGGATTGTTTCTGGTCACTAAACTTAATGGGTTTTTTTAATCTATCTTTTTCCAATATAGTGTCCTTTATCCAAAAATAGTAACTATAAATACTTTACAAACATACATGCTTTAAAAAAGTATTTTGAATTGTATGTCAAAAGTAGTTTGCATTAAGACCTATTATACTTGATAATTCTAAGCAAAATTGGAATACAATACTGGGCTTATTTTAAAGAAAATGGTTTTATTGACACACTAAAACAATGGAAGGAATTTCGCAGGCACATAATGGCTATTTATCATGGATTATAATTAAAACATTTATGACAGATTACGGACAACTGTTTTTTTTTCTCCAAACAAACCAGAAACCACAGTCCAATACATTGTTTATGACATGTACACAAGCGGCCGAGCTTTCTTATGCATCATGAAACTAAATGCCGTGCAGAGAGAACATAAGTCCATGACTCTTAAAGGGGAGTTGGGACAGACTTCTCAGTGGTGCAATTCAAAAATAAAACATACATTACACATTACATGTCAGTGTCAGTTCATTTAATGCACAAAAAGCAATATACTGTTATTCTGGCTTTTTACTTTAGCTGGCATTTCAACCCTTACAGACATTATTTTCATGGCTAAATTTTACACACATTCTACATGTTGTTTTTAACGAGACTTTGGGCTAGAAGAAAAGTCCAACATTCATCTTACAAGTGGAGTTTCAATGAAATTCATCCATATGAGGAGATTTCAAGGAGTCATACATTTAGAAAATCATTATTTAAAAGGAGCAGAGAGAGGAAAACATTAACATCAAACAAAAGATTTTCTTGGTTTTTATACAGCTTTAGCAATCCCAATTTATCTCTTCAAATGAACCAAATGAACCACAGCTATGATTTCTTTACATCAATGACATCAATAAATATTAATATGAAAAATGTTTAAATATGTTGGGGTTTTTTATGTGCAGTGAGTGGTATGATGAAGCATTCCTCCCTTTCTGCAATTGTGTTCAGAATAATGTTTCAGACCATCAAACAAATCTTGAGATGAAACACAGATAAACTGAGACAGTAAAGAGAAAACTACAGTTTATATATATATATATATATATATATATGTATAACATGTGTAAAGTAATTTGGGAGTAACTGGCTGAGCTACACTTTCATGCAGCAGCAACTGCTGACACTCAGGATAAGCAAGGATAACTCACAATAATTCTTTATATTAGTACATTTTAAGGCTCTTGATTGAGCAAATTTTTTTAAGTCAACAAAAACATGAATGGTCGGTTTGAAGTCGAAACCAACGTATCTTAGTGAAATGTGGGCTTTAACTAGGCCACTTATCAGTTTGAATGTTGTTGTAATCTTTTTCGGAAAAGTCATGCTTCACACTTGACATAAAGATTTATTCAACAATCTGAAATGCTTAAGTTTGATTAAAAAGCTTTAACAAAAAAACAACTATCTTAATATAAAAAAAAACTTTTGTGAGATAAGGTAGCAAATCAAACACCCATGAAAAATTGAAACTTACATTTAATACCAGATTGGGCTGGTTTCTGCTCTATTGGGCTTCTTTTGAACAAGTAAGGCTGAAAAATGTCGATTGTTTCGATTAGGGCTGCTTTTCACAGAATCTGGCACGTGTTTATAATGTAATAATAGTAAAACTCTATCAAAATGATGATCATTGTGTAGCAAAATAATGTATAAAGAAAAAACATTGCAATAACATATTGTAGCCTAGTTTGTTTATTTGGAAATGAGGACATTATCTCAGATTTGACATCATCAGTCAGCAATAGTTACTGGTTAAATAAGCATCACTGTGAAATATTTCTCAGTGACCATTGTAAACACCCTATGTGGGCTTAAGAGTTCAACTTGGCTTCTGGCAAACCTTGTGTGAAATTTATGTTGCAGATTTTCTCTTAATTCTAAACTTGTACTATTTCAAGTTCGTTTTGGTGGACTATTTCAGAGTCTGAGAAAAGATTCTTAAAAAGAAACATCTATTGTAATTAATGTAGAGATTTTGGTCCGCAGCACTTAATAGCATTGAGGTTTCTGTAAGTCTCATAGAAATATTTCCATTAGAGATTATACACTTAGGAATAGAAATAACTTTAAACCGCCATATTTACCCTCTGCAAAATGTTAAAAAACTAGCCCGAATATCTGTTAGCTTTCCATGCATTGTTAGTAAATTGGATCTTCATGCTTTTAGTCAAAATGCAGCAAGTCACATAAAATTCATTCAGTTTAAGATGGAAATGTCCCAGATAGGCTACTGTTATTAAAAAAAAAAAAAAAAAAAAAAAAAAAAAAAAAGGTATTTTGTAGTTCACAAAAATATCAGAGGTCCGTCTCCTATTGGGTTTACATTTCGATCATGTTAGACCTAAGAATGTGTTTAGTTCACACAATTTGCTTGGAGATATATTCATTTCCAGTGTTTTCTATGTTAGCCCATATAGGTCACTTTATTGGTTTCCTCTTTTGAACCTCTGGAAGTTTAACTACAGTTAAGATTTAACAATATAAATAAAACCCATTTTCTATATGCTTGAACTGTTTGTGTGTTTTAAATTAATGGTAGTAGGTTTTACATAAAAAAAAAAAAAATATTAAGCTGTCATATGTGGACACACTTTTTCTTGTGGTTGGCCCCTTCTTCTTCTCTTTTGACTATTTGAGCTGATGTAACAAGTTAATTTCTCCACTGTGAGATCAATCAATCAATCAATCAATCCACTGTCACTGCTGGTGCTTGTTAATAGCTCTAAAATATAATAGGTTTTAGGGGAAAAATCAATCTATTTGATGAATTCACTGATGAAAATGTTCAGAAAATCATCATCAGATATTAAAACTGTTAATTACCGTTAAAGACTCAAACTTCTGAATTGGAGAGTTTCAGTTCCCTAACTGAAGGTTTTGGTCAGTTTAAAAGATGAAGTAAAGATGTATGAGGATTAAAGATTTAGCTGTCAATTTAGGAAAACTTTAGCCTTTAGATGAGGAGGGGAAAATAATTAGACTTTTCAGCTAACAAGCTCTTAAACAGCTCAATCGCCAAAAGGTTTGAAAAATTCGTTGTAACTTATTATATACCTTTAAAACACAGCTTATGTAATACTTTTTGAGAAGTCATATATATATATATATATTTGCAATGTATTTTTGGTACGCAAAATACTGAATCAAAAAATTATGCAAAGAGTCTCCTTTTTACTCGACGTTTGCTGTTCATGTCCATTTACTTAACTCTATATTTAAGATAGTAAAAAGAATCCTCTGTCACTTTAAAAGCTACCCCTGGTTTGGCTTTATGGAACTATTGGACTATCTTTATTCCAAGTATAAAATGTACACGACAGCTCTATTTTCAATAAATGCAACAAATATTGTGTTTTTATGAATATATGGCTTATTTTTGGAATGTTAGTTATTAAAGAAACAGGTGAACAGCTGCAACATAATTCAAGGTTGATAGTCTTACTATTTATAGAAATTAAAACACAAATATGTAAATATCTATGACAATCTTGTAAACGATACCATCTCAAGGAGCAGTGCAGATTGTCTGACAAATCATCGGGATAAAATCCTAAAAAGAAGAACTATACCACTCTGGAGGCATAAAATCTGATTAGAAAAAACACTGATCTAACTCCATCCCTGAGATTAGGCAGTGATTTCAGTGTAATTAATCAGCACACTGTTCTAAAGGTGATTCGTTTGCATTAATCAGACCTGGAAGATTTGACCTTGCAGTTCAAAGGGATGTTTGTTCTTGCCAAATGTTCAAGCTATAGTCAGCAGTCATGCAAAGGACAGTCATAAAAGCATGATAGCTCTACCAAAACAACAATGCATTTAACATCTGTGTGCTTTACACACTCAAAAAGATGGAAATGAAGTAGTGGCATTGGTCTCTCTGCAGAATGAAAAATCAAATTTCATCTATCATGCTTATGTCACACAGTAAATGTTGGGAATCAGTTGATGTTTGTGGATGGTGGTTTCCGGGGTGATGTGTGAAATAATGTGGCACTCATACGTCTATGTGCAGTGTGTTAGGCTGAGTTTGGTCACGCCTTCCCTGTGCAGCTTATAAAGCAGTTTGAATTCACTAGGCAGCTGATGCGTCTCCTGCCACTTTGTGGTGAACTTGGTCCCTTTCTTGTCGTAGTAATGGTACGGCAACTCCTTGCCTGTGTTGGGGTCCCATCCGAAGGGCCAGAAGCCGTAGAGGTGAATTTCATCGCACATGGCATATGCCAGTGTGTACATGAGGATCCCAGTGCTCAGACGTTTGGGAGAGAGGTTCTTAGTTTTCCAGTATCTGTGAGAGAAATGAGAAGTTCAATAAAAAATCACTTGTGCTGATTCTACTAGATTGTAGATGATTCATTCTAAATAGCTTTTCCAACTAGCTTTATCTCTGGCATTTTTAATATGATTCTGGCAAACATCAGAGTACTGATATATAACAAGCAATCGTACAAGTTGATTAGTAGGTCAGAAAATTATAAAGTAAGAATTTCTGGATTAAAATACTGTAAAATGTCCTTTTCATTCTTTGATTTACTTAAACCTTAATGTCCTCTCTTCTGTACTTCAATTCTTCTTTTTTTAAAGAAGAAAAAAACAGTAAAATAATTGCACAAAAGCAGCTCTTCAGTCGTTGTCCTAAAAGCTAAATTTCATTGTTCTTCATGTGGCAAAAATGTTTTTAAGATCAATATAGTAACTATTTTCTACATTAAACACCAGCAACATACAGCATAAATCTAAACACTATTGCAAAAATACTTTAACTCCTGAAACCTTTCACAAGTTGTCACATTACAACATGAAGATGAAGAACGCAAAGCAGAGAATGATTGAAAGGGAAGAAAAAATGGAAATAGCTGTGAAAAATCCACCCTTTGTAGGGGATACATCATAAGAATAACTGGATTTATGGCAAGAATTCATAACAAAGAGGTAGGCTCTACTCTAACTTTTAAAACAAAGCAGTTGCACTAGATCTTGTCTGGATTAAAGGGACATACTGTTCTTAGTGAGGCTGAAGTTTATGAAAAAAAAAGTATAGGTTTAATTTTCCCACATAAAATCTTGATTAAAAACATTGATTTCTTTAGTTTTGATTTTAAAAACATGTTCATGGTAACTGAATAGTTTGATAGCACAAATTACAAGAGAGCCTTTTTTCCTCTTCTAACAAATGATTAAAGATTTGTGATGTAATCTAAGCCTTTAACACAGTGTAAATATTTACATGGAAATAAACTGGAATAAGAGACTAAATAAAAGTGTAATCCTGATGAGTGGTGTTTTACATAGGGTTTTATATTTTATGTTCTTACTTGTTGACATCATGCATGATATTTCCTGGCCAGGCTAGTTCAACCTTCAGCTGGCCTTTGTGCTCCACAAAGAAGTCCACCAGGGTCCGGGTTACTGTGGCAGAGGTGTGAAGAAAGAAAGCAGGGATCCAGAGGATGGCTCCCTCCAGCTTCTTCAAGTTCAGGAAGAAATTATTCCTGTCTTGGATGGTCAGCAGGTTGTTGTAGTATCTCTCAAGGATGCTGGGGTTAAATGTAGTCAGGTTGGTCTTTTTTCCCACATCTTTGGAGTAGACATCTGTAGGAGCGAAGTTGCAGCGGAAGACAAAGTCTGCTTGATCGATTTCAGGACCGCAGTGGCTTCCAGTCAGGATGCCGCTGTTTCCCACCACAGCACATGTACTGTAGTGTTTGTTAAGGATGGGCGATGTCTCGGGGAGTAAGGACTTGAAGTTATTACTGATGGAGAACACATACTTGTGGCTGGAGTAGTCAAAGTGCATCAGCTGGCCGACGCGTACGCTGTTCTTAGTGAGGGAGAAGTTTTTAGGAATGTCGATGTAGCTGAAGATTTCTTTCCTGCAAAACATAGATTGAACCCTTTTAGTATTTCCCCTGTAATGTAATAATCTATGAAGAGCTTTGGCATTTCTTCCAGCAGCAAAACACCCCCATTACATGATAGTGCCAGCACCATGTTTCAAAGTTGGGGTGATGAGCTGAGGCTTGCATCTTTCCCCTATTTATTCCAGATGTAATGGCCAAATCAGAACAAAGAACAGTCTTGGTCCCTTAGTCCATTTGTAAACGTAATTAGTCCATTTGTAAAAGTAATTTTATTATGTGTATGAAAGTTAGTGAAACTGAAGAAATAAAGTAAAGTGTCCCTCAATACTATGGAATTTAGCATAAAGACCTGAAACGGAAGTTTGGTCTGCTTTACTATAAGTTTAATGGGCTGTTTCATTTTTAAATTTTATGTAAATATCTAGCATTGACTGAAAAGAACCAGTTGTATTAAAATCTTACTTCTGCTGGTAATATGCTGTCTTGTTGAACTTCCATTTGGATGGTTTTCCTTGGAGCTCCTCATTCAAGGCATTTGTTAGTGGGATGAAGGAAGGATCCAAGAAATTCATTGCAAACTGAGACCTAAAAACAACAGAAGAATAAATTCAGTGTTTGCTTTCAAAGGTTCATGTTTTAAACCCAGAGGCTGCTTTGGGGCTGCATGTTGTTCAAGTTTAAATTTTCTCTCCAAATTGCCCATAAGTATGAATGTATGCATTTATATTTAAAAGTAAAATTTTCAATTTTCAGATTTGTATTCAACAACAAAAAAAAAAAAAAGAAAAAAAAAAAAGATTTTCATATCTCATACTGAACCAAACATGTTTTGTCAGGCAGATCTGCTTGTGATTCCATTGAGTTTCTAGAAGTGTTGAATCAAAGCAAATCAATTAGCGGTGACTTTTCCCTGTTGCTGAACTGGCACTCAATCTGACTTATGAGGAAAGACATTTTCTATGCCTTTGAAGTTAGATTTATATTCAGTATTATATAGTATTTCAATACACTGATATGCAAAGATATAGCAACTGGTTATTGGCCAGTTCTCTATCATGTGTCAATTCAATGGGGGTTTATCCAACCCCCACTTTTGTTTTCAAACTCTCTATTTAGGCAAATGGCTTAAACAACCTGATAAGACAAAAAGGTTGAAGTAAGTGGAAAAAGGAGAGCCAATGTATTAACGCAACCTTTTTTGAAGACCACAGAATAACAGTGAACTGTGATATTTACAAGAAACCAGAACTTAATGTTGATTATCGTCTGTTTTTTTGTGGGGAACAGTATGTTGGTATATTCTGCCTCGAGTCAGCGAGCATAAAATCAACAAGCTTACAAATACACAGAAAAAAGACTAATCCTTAAAAGGAAAAGTAATCAACTAAAAAGGAAAGCTCCCAGTTTTCTCAAACCAAAACAGCAATAAACAACAGAAAGAATCTATAAACCAATGCATTAAAAACATTACTTTCAAAAGCACCAGAAGGATAGTGTTGCCCCTAAAAAAAATTATTAAAAACAGTACCCTAAACCAAACATGAAGCAGAAAAATAACTCTTCCTCATCTCCAAGGAAAAACATTAAATTGAAAAAAATATGCTCCTTCCAGCCTTTAGATGTTTATTTTCGTATTGCTTAAATCCAATATGTCTATTGAATCCTTTCTGAAAATCTCCATAAAATATTACAATAGGCTCATCAGGAAGTTCAGCTCCATTCAGTACAGGTCGTTGGAAACAGAAAGCGACAGGGAGTCTACAGAAAAAAAACATTACTGTTAGAAAATGTCTTCCACCACATGCATGAAGCTGCTGAAACTGCTGAAGTTCCTTCAGTGACAAACAGATGCAGAGAAGAGTGTTTGTTCTGCCCAGCAGCTGTTAGACTATAATCACTGCTCAAAACAAACACTACAAGTATTTACATTTCTGCTGTTTGAGGTTTTCAGAAAAGTTTTGTTTTGGTTTTTTAGTTTTGTGTCATCCAAACAGTACATTTATGCATTTTTGTTGTGTCCCCGGAATTGTAGATTACACAAGCTTGTGTGGCGTCTACAGGCTAACTTGAGCAGTGGATCTCTGCAGCTTCTCTGGTTACCATGGTGCGCTTGGCCAATTCTTTGATTAAGGCGCTCCTAGCCCGGCCTGTCATTTTAAGTGGATGGCCACGTCTTGGTGGGCTTGCTGTTGTGCTGACTCTTTCCATTTTGGGAGGATTGGTTTCAAAACCTGGGTCAGATGTTCAAAGTGTAAAATATTGTTTTGTTACCTAAATGTTTTTAAACTTATTCAGTAGCATAGGCAAGGACTCCTTCTTCCTAGCAGCTGTTAGACTATAATAACTGCTCCAAACAAACTCAGCAAGTGTTCAATGTACATCTATGCTGATTTAAGAAAAGTATTTTTCATAAATTGTGTTCTAATGTTTTTAGATGCATGTCAACATTCCAGGGTTGCACACTTCTTAATAATAATTAATATCACTGACTGCTGAACTGTTGAAAACTCAAATCAAGTCACAAATCAGGACTCTGCATCACAAACATCATACTTGCACTACATGGTAAATCTTCAAAATACAACTCAACTCAGTGTTTAGGCTGCATTTTGCACCATATTTATTTGTATATGTTTGCACTGCTCTGAACCTTCCACATCAATGCCTTTTGCACCATGTCTCTCCTGCACTGTTTACATTTTGATTATTACTGCACTTTTAAATGGAAATGTTCATTTCACTGCTAAGCTGCTACTAAAATGTTTGTTATTGTTAAAACATTCTTTACGTTGCGTGTATCTACATGCTTTCCTGTTTATTTCCCTTTGCAGCTGGGGTGCGTGAACTCCCCCACTGAGGAATCATTTTACAAAGGATAAATTATGTCTCTATAAATGCTTTTTGTTTCGGGGGAACAACATAGTGATGAACAGGCCTTTTGCACTTTAAAGCTATTTACAAAAAAATGCAGAGTCTAAATTTGGGCCTAAAATGGTGCAGATAACCTGAAAACCTGAACTAGACAGAAAATCGTAACGGTGATGCTCGGCGAGTACGGTTTGAACTTCAGCACTCTGGACAGCTCCCCGTTAAATTAACAGGAAGTTTATGATAAGAAATGGTATATATAAAGTTCCCCATAAATAGGCCACACTCTGTTTACATTCACACCAACCATTGTCCGCATTTCACCAGCTGCTCTTAATCTGCCCTTAAAATAAAAAAATAAAAACCTTACTCACCGAAAGCCTGCGTGAAACATAATCCGCGGGTATTTGTTGGTGCCGAAGAGGCTGTCTTTCCTCAGAGAAACGTAGCTGATAAGCGACAGGATGAGCACAACGACGCACAGAATAACCAAACCCAGGGCCTTGGCGATGCGGACCATCTTGGGATCCTTGTCATTCCCAGTATGAAGCTGCAGCGTCGGCCTTAAGTTGTCATGGTGGCAGGCGAATCGGAGCGCATCCAGGGGTATGATGGCGCAGAAGATGGAGGCTCGGTGGTCCGCATGGTGAAGATACCGAGGCTGCTCAGGCTGACGGGGATAAAATCATGAGGCTGAGCGGAGATGCGCGTCAACATCCAGCCAGCTCTGTCCTCACAGCTCCGACAGGCTCCCTACCGCCAGCACCACTCCTCCTCCTCCACCCGCTCTCACTGATGCAGCTTTCTCTGCAGCACAAAGAGGAGCTTGTCTATCAACAGACTGAGAGGGGCAGAAATAGATAAGGGAAGCTTTTACAGCCTCCAGAGATGGATTATTTATTTATAGATGAGGTATAAATATAAAGTTAAAATCAGGCTGTAAACCTCATATAAACACAGCTTTACTTGCTGCATGATTTGAATTAATACTAAACCTGCATAGAGTCAGGTTATGTATAAACATCCAATTATCTTATTTCCCTGTGATTGAAATCATAAGACTTTATAAGCTTTCCTCAGATCAGATTCCCATGTGTTGAAACATTTTGGGAAAGCCCAGAATATGACATCATGTTTTTGTACGTTTCTTATTGGTTAATTTATGATGATTGAATTAATTAAAACATAATTCGGAATGTTTTTATTAAGGCAACACATAAAACCTGCCACAGATTTGTGTAACACTGAATAAAAGTGGAAAGTGTTTCAGGGTGTGTCTCCCTGATAGCTATCTTGGAATAATTTGTACTCTTCTTCAGGCCTTTCTTCTGCTTTCCTTGGTTTTGACAGTGCTGTTTGTGCGCTAATGACCTCTCGTAAACATCAGAGGCCATCACAGAGCAGCTACATCTATACAAAAAATTAATAGCCAATTAATAGTGGACAAGACGATGCACTGGGTTTTATTCTAGGGTATCAGAATAATGCAGGATTGATAAAAACAGTGTTCCTGTTTTTATTTTAAACAAAGTTTAGAACCATGAGAACAAAAGAAAGCAGATTTTTTTTTTTTTTGTCCCATTGGATGTTGTTGTACTGCTTTGCGTGTTTAGAATAATTACACCAGATTTAGTTTAATTATGAGTGAAGAAAGCTGTGATAACACCATGTCCTTTAAAAAGTAACCCAGGAGAGACACTGACCCGCAGCATTACAGACCTTCATACTTTCCACAAGCTCCTTGACTTGCCTCATCAGTTTGTCACAGCTGGGTGTGTTTAAAATTGTCTGATAATTGCTGTCCCTGTAGACAATTAAACAATCACCAACATTTTTAAGGCTGACAGCTGCCTTCATGGCTAGTGAGTCATAGGATGGGCTACCAGTACTGACTTATGAACGAGAGGGGGTCAGTATCCACCTACTTCTTCCATGATAAACACATTTTTATTGCTATGGTTAAAAAGAACAGCAACAGAATGAAATACAATTTCAAACTTGGCCCACTGGTGAGTTGTTCTAAGAAAATGTTGAGGGCACCGTATGCGGTCCTGGGGCCCCTTGGTGCCTGTGGACATCATGTTGGTGACCCCTTTTATAGACATTGGGGATAGATAAGTAGCTTGTTTTCTTGTTTTTTCAATATTGTATTTTTTTATTGACAGAAAGTCATGGATTATGAATTTAATTGTAAGTTAGAAATCCCCCAGATACAAGCTGGTATTATTTGCTGATTGGTTGAAAGTATATATATTAAAGTTTCTGGAAGCTTTTCCCTGTGTCCATCGCTAATCCAACCCATCATCTCAAGATTTTGTAAACAAAAGCAACTGAAGTCATACAAATTGTTAAAAATATATCTGGTTTTATTCATAAGGGTTATCTGTGTCCTTTCTCTGTATTCCACATAAAATATAAATACAGTAACTGATATATGACATCACAAAACAAGCTTTTTATATTGTCTTTTACATGATATTTACATTTTTTTTTTTTTTTTACATTTTGTCTTTGACATGAGCTTATCTTGGTTAACATGAACCACGGTATATTCACATTTGAGTGCATCATGCATTAACAGTTTAGTCCCAATAACATAAAATGACATATTGGAATAATGTTAGCAAACATACATGTGTGTATATACAGAACACTGCACGTTATTACATGGTACGGGTATTAGAAAAACAACTACTGAGGATGTTGGCTGCTGGTTTTCAGACTGAATGTGCAACATAAAGAGGCAGATCAAGTCATTTGTGCTTCAACTTTTCTACTTAAATGTGTCGTAGTTGAAAAAAACCAACTAGAAAGAAGACTTGAAAAGTTCTATCATCAAGCCGCCTTAATTATTACAATTTTCTAGACTAAATTATTAAGATATGTCACATATTTATCACACACACTCAGCAAGCAGATGTAACACAGGCACTTTTTCATAGACGATCTGACATTTTGCATCAACACACAAAGGACGAATCCCCATCTACCCCTAAATCCCTCTTTTATATCTGTTCAAGCAGAAAAGTAGGATGAAAAAGCCTGTTAAATAACAGGTGTGATCTCCTTCAACCGCTACACTCGCAAACAGAAGTCAATGTTAAAAATATGTTATTGCCATAACAACCATTCAAATATCTAGTTTCGTGTAATCTGGTCTAGTTTGGTTCTACAGTTTTTTGCCTGCTGATGTTGCAACTATAGATAAAGAAAGATCTCTCTATCAACAGTAACAACCCCATAAACACTTACACAGCCATGCTGATTTAGGTTTGCTTTGGCAAAAAAACAAACAAATAAAAAACAATAAAAATAAAAAACATCTATTGAGTAGCTGCAGGCTTAAGTGCATTAAGAGGGAAGGGGCTAGCAGGGGTAACGCTAAGGAATACAGATTCACATTTAAGATTCAAAACATGCACATTAACAGAAAAAGTTGCCATGAAATAGATTGTGACTGAAAGACGCAGTGGATGTCTGCCACTGCTTCTCTTCTTTGGTCAGCCGTCTGCACAGTGGTGGAAGGAGCAGGGGAAGAAGGCTCCCTCGCCGTCGCTTCCTAAAGAGCCGCACGGACTGTCCTCGCCGCTGCTCAGGTCCCCGCAAGAATCCTCGCTGTGAGACACAAAGACAGTATGAAGGCTATACATCCCACACTTTAATTATTAGTTTTTACCCCAGTAAACATTGCTAATTAAAATTAAACAAACAAAAAACATAGATTTAGAAGTACATAGTTCATTTCTGTGTTCAACTTCACATCACAATCTTAATGATACTGGAATACTGTGGTACTGACTCAAACCAAATCCATACGCTGAAGCTAAACAAAGACACAATATCTAATATACATGTAAAACAATATGCACTGAATGAAACATTACATCAGAGATTAATTTAAAATGTGGACTACTGACCTCTCACTCTCGTCCCAGCTCATCTCAGGAATCGTCGGCAGGCCTGGAACACTAAAGTGACAGTTCTGCAGACTTTGAGCTGTTCTCCTGGACACGATCCAAAGGAGCTTCTTGTTATCCGGTTTGGTGCATTCACTCGAATGGTATTCGATCATGCATTTGGTCACGAGTTCCTTCCAGTGGAGCAGCTCACTGTCGCTGATCTGTGAAAAACAGGAAATAGCTGAGAGGTCGCTGGTAGAAACATGCTGTCATCCAGAACTCAAATGGTTCCCTTTTTTCTCACTTTTTTTCAATAGCTGGATGGCAGAGAGCTTAGGCAAACTAGCTTAGTCTAAAAATAATGTTCAAACCTCAGCTTCTTGACCCGATAAGTGAAACTGCAACACGCTCAGTGTGAATTGGATTTCATAATCAGACTAAATACCTTTAGATGCTTTTGGAATTGCTGGATAATCTTCAACAACGGGACTGACTGAAGGGCTTCAAACTCCTGAGCAATGAGGGACAACGCCAGCACTGACGGCTGTAAAACAAAGGCAAAAAACAAAATCCTAAGACTCGCAGCAAATGAAGCTATGTTGACAAATTCTCACCTGAGAACAGTCCTTACTTTTGCTTTAGAGAAAACAAGCCGGCATAAGCAGGCTTTTAGCTGCACTTCCAGCCTCCCAATGCTTGGGATCTCCTCCCTTAAAATATAAAGGGAACCCCACTGTGATCTGCTAGTTACAGACCTCATAAAGAAGAAACTGTTTAACCAGCTCCATGGAAACTGGAGCCATCACAGAAAAACAACAAGAGAGAGAAAAAGATGCTTACCTTTCAGCTAACAAGGAGGCGGTGGCCGAGTGGTAGAGGTGCAGGAAGGTCAGGGCCGTCACTGCGTTGGGATCCACGCTGAGTTTCTCCGAAATGATTTTCTCCATACGGCTGAGGTCGGACACGGTGAACCTGCTCTGGCTGATGCGAATGAGTTCGTGAGTGGGTGAGACGTCGCTCTCCTCCTCAACCATTTTGGCAGCTATATGCAGACAGCACACTCCGATGCAGGGCACGTGTTTGGGCTGGACCTGTCCCGAAAACAGACACATGTCTAAATCAGCTTCTCATTATTCAGGAGATTCATCCTGCTGCTCATACCCCCCGCCCCCAAAAAAAACTTTCTAAAAAGTAACAGCTGTATGTCTTCTTTACAAATACTTCCAACTAATAAGCTATTATTACATGTTAATAAATTGAAACTTCATGTTATTTTGGGGTAAAAGGAAATACAAAGGGGAAGAGATGAATCTGTTTATTGTGGATAAGTAAACAAGAGTTTTATCACCTTATTTCAAAATTATTATACGAGGAAAATGTGTGTTGTGCGTGTAAAAATTCCTATCTTTGTAAGGCAGTCTTATTTTTCTTTATTTAACATATTGAAATATTGTTTGGGATTCCACATTTAGTAAAATCTTGCTTTTTCCAATGCAATCGGTTTAATTAGTAAAACCTATTACTGATTAGAAGCATCTAGGAGGTATTAAAAATAAAATTACCAAAACTAAGGCTGTACGTTTCTTTTTCTTTTGTTTATTTCGTACATGATAATTATATTATGCATTGTTCATATTTTGTATGGTTATATTATTTATTAAAAGTTTACATAGATCAGTTCTGGTTTCTATCAGCTATCTCATCTATTTGTAACTTTTATGCTTCGTTTTCTTGCCCTTTATATAGTGAAGACTCAAGAACTAGGGTTGTGACAATTCTAAAATTTCAAACTTGAAATCAATGCTCAGGAAAATATTGATACTCAATGCCATTTTGATACCATGGGGAAAAATTGAAAAATTTGCACTAATCCACATGTACTTTTCAGAGTATCAATATTTTTGACAACTAATAAGGTTAAATTAAACTTTGTCAAGACATTTGGGGTATTTTGCAGTTCTGGTAGGTTGTTTTTTTCCCCCACACCTATTTAAAATTAAAAGCTACCTTGAGTTGGGCATACATTGTGTGATATTTTCAAACTTATGGTGAAGATTCTCAGTCAGGTCATAGTCATTAAAAAAAAAGTTTAAAAAAAAACAATCCACTGCACTTTGTTTCCAAATTTGAAGACGTTTGAAGATTTTCAATTCAATTTTGAATTGAAAATTTCTTCAAACTTGGAAACGAAGTACTTTGGATTGTTTTTTAACTTTTAGGAATGATATTTTCAATCGTTGCATGCACCTACAGCTAAAACTGTACGATAAAACCACATGCATGTTCTTACACAGTACGTCCAGAAACTCAAAAAGACCACAAAAAAATTTACGCCCAGCTTTACACTGTGCAGTATGTTCCATAATAGGTTCTAATTACAGGTTTTAGCCAAATTTAAAAATTCCTGTTGCTAAGCTGAACTTCAGTATTTATAAAGGGGCTACCAGTGTTTGGAAGGAATTGTTTTAGATGGTATTGTGGAGAGCAGAAATACATCAATCAACCTGCCAGAGATCAAAATTAGACAATGATATCTTTTATAGGCCTAGATTAATAAAGCAGATCAAATCCATTCATCATTGATTAAATGTATGTTGAATTGATTATTAGAAGTAAAAATAATAATATTTACAGTTCAAAATTAATGTTAGAACTGTAAATGTACAGTCCTATGTTTAGATTTCTTTTTTTATGTATTTATTACTATTTTCAAGGCTGCACTTTAAAAAAGGAAATTGTCTATAGCTGTTTTAAACGAAATTTCTTTTTGTATACACTCGTGTATACAAAATGACAAAATAAATCTGTCTAAGTCTAAGTAGTAATAATAATAATAATAAGAAAGGGTTAAAACATACATAATAACATATTTAATGATGATAAAGCTTGTCCTTTCTTTTGTTTTCTCAAAACTATTACGATCAAAGATTTTGTCATCTTTTTTAGATGCTTAAGGCTGTAAAAAGGAAAACAAAGTAAGTCATAGTTGTTATAGGTGTTAGACCTAAAAGAAAATCATATATTGGTCAGAAAATATATTTCCTAATAGTGTCTAGTCCTAATGTCAACAACTCCATCTGATCTTTGTTTTAGCATGACAGTAAAGCGCTACATGTCCAAAGGTCTTTGAAAAATTAGATCATCCTGTAGGAGGATCAGAGAGTTTATACCAGTTCATAGTACGATTTGTTTGTGAATAAATTCCCAAAGTTCTTTGAAAATGTGCTTAAAAAAAGATAGATTAATGCAGGATCATCACTCAAGATGAGATGACGTCATTAGACCAGTGCACCAGTTTTAGCTTATCTGTAACACTCTTAACAGATCACATAAAAAGCATTAGGCCGCTAGCAGCTGAGCAATGCTATGTTGATATGAATCTAAATTTGTAAGGATTTATGTCAAAAAAGTAGTTCTGGAGGGAAAAAAAGGTCCAACATCCTACTAAAGTATTATTAATAAAGTAGAAAGTGTATATGATTTTTTCATCCATCCATTTTCTGTCACGCTTTATCAAAGCCGGGGTTGCAAAAAAGCTGTTTAAGGGGCGAGATGTGGGGTACACCCTGGACAGGTCGCCAGTCCATCGCAGGGCAACACAGAGACAAACAGAACAAACAACTATTCACACAAACACTCACATCTAAGGAGAATTTAGAGAAGTCAGTTAACCTAAGAGTCATGATTTTGGACTGTGGAAGGAAGCCGGAGTACCCAGGGAGAACCCACACAGGCTCAGGGAGAACATGCAAACTCCATGCAGAAGGATCCCGAGCCGGGAATTGAACCCGGAACCTTCTCACCACTGAGCAGCCGTATATGATTTTTTTTCTACATGAATTGAAAAAACGACAAGATGTAAAACTTGCCTTCATGATGGTGAGAAATCTGTCGAGCAAATTGACAGCCTGCACAAAGGTCTGCGTCCTGTAGCCAAAGAAACTGGTCAGGCTCCACAGCTCCTCCACTTTGCTGTCTCTGCATTTCGCAGACACTCCACTGCGAATCTGGAAAAAAAAAATAAGAACTGTTATCTATTTGGATAAAAACTCCTTGTCTGCACTAACAGAGACAATCCTCAATAAGTGAGTCACCTCTGGAGATGTGGACTCCATCAGGTTCAGGCCCGTTTCCCTGGGCAGGAAACTGTACTCTTTGGCACAGCATGATTTCAGCTCTTTCAAGAGCAAGCTGTCAATGCCCTGAAGATCTCTCATCCTGCACAGCGACATTTAAACATTAAAATCCAATTAAGACTATAAAAATCCAAGCAAACCCCTTGAGCAGGGATTCCTCAAAGGGCGGAGGAGAGCAGCGTATTTAAAAGTTGTCTTAAACCACACCTACCGGGTGTCAAATGTCAGAACTGGAAGTTCTTCCACCACAAAAACAAAATGTTCTGGTGTTTACGGTGTTATTCACAAAAACAAACGTATTCATATATGTAAATATAAGTTTAAGAGTGGAAAATTATATGCTAACTGCATGACATTAAAAGTAGTTCAACGTCTATGATGAAAGTGGGTCATAAAAAAATCACAGGGACACAGTGTTCGATAAAAAAACATGCTTTAGATAAATGTTTTTGTACGCTAACTGACGATAGTCAACGATATCATAAGGTAAATAACACAATAATTCGATTAAAATAAAACTAAAAAGCTCAAATTGAATATATTTAATGTTTTTACGCTTTCGTAACATGGCCGCTAGCCTACATTTATTGATGTGTGTATGTATAAAACATTATCTTACCTTTCCCAAAAAGCGCCGACATGCAGGATTACCGCTCTGCCACCTTCACCTCCTCATGTTTCCATGTTGCTCCCTGCAAGGAGTCCGAAATGTCATAAAATACTCAGGATGCTCGATCCAAGACCAGGAGCTACACCCCTAATAAACAAGTAAGCGCTAATCTGCTGGTAAACTACGTTACCCATCATGCAACGCTGGCAAAAAAAAACAAAAAAAAAAACGTAATGACGTTAAGATTTGACGCGCTGCTTGAAAGTGTCGCTGGCGCTAACAAACTAGCGCTAATGTTCCCTCCTAAGCCAAGAACTTACCTGAATAACTTTTTTTATTTACTCTGTAACCAATGCCGGAGTTAAACGAACACAAACAAAGACAGGTAAGCTGAATTTTATATTATTTTAGTTTGCTTTTATCCAGAGCCCTCCCTTCAGGCTGAGATCCAACAGTCTGACTTTGAATGGTTATTATTATTGTATGTTTTCTGACATCCAGTCAAATCCATTAGTTCATTAAGAGTCTACAATCAGAGGCGTAGCCAGAAAACTTTTATAAGGGTGGCCAGGCAATAGCCAACGTATACTGAGGGGTGGCCAAAAGTGGATAGTCACCAGAACCTCAGGGTCAATCTAAACTGTTCCAACAGGAACAAGCACGTCCATATTTCTAAATAAAGAAAAACTATACGGTTGTTTACTGCAGCATTTGCTAACAAATAGATGCATATAAACATCCGTCTAAATTCTTTGAGGTTTGAGTTCTGGAGCGAACATCTTTTCCATCGTCATTACTTACCTATTTTATCAATATATTTCTACATTACATTGATATTTACAAGTACCATACTAATATCTACATAAATTGATAATTTAATAGGTTTTTATTGAAATTGTAATTTACAGTATCTTTGATTTCACTGAAGACTCTTAGATTACTTGCAGAGACACATAATTTTCTCTTTATGGCATATAACACAAAATCTAGTTCTGAAAGAGCATGAATTCTGTATTTATCATCTTCAATGTTGGTATATTGATGTGCATAGTTAACCACAGTGTTTTTGTTGTCCAGTAATTGTTAATATATATTTAAAATTAAAATGTTTTGAATATTCTACTTGAGAAAAAAAAATGCTAGGGATGGCCAATGATTGGCTAAGGGTGGCCATGGCCACCCCTGGGCCCCCATCTAGCTCTGCCCCTGTCTACAATTAAACATTAGACGTTAAGAAACATTAACCCCCTGTCCCTCAGTGAGGTCTAGAAGCACAAGATCTATATTCAGCCATTCAGCATAGATCCTGCTACTAGGCTGTACATCTTATTTTGGCATTTGACCAATTAGATGAGCCCTTGAATGATATATTACCTACTGTAAATTAGGTTGGAAAAAAAAGTTAAGTCAAGTTAATAAGCTAATAAGTTAATAAGCCTAGTTAACAATTATATTTAGTTTTATAAACTAAAAATGTAGGTGCAAGTATCACCATTAATGCCTCTAAGGTTATGTTGTACCAAAAATATGTGTTTCTTTCACTCTCAGAGTGTTGCATGAATTTCTTATAGAAGCACTTTTGTTATTTTTCTTAATATATTTGGGCAAGTTGGCATTTCTTGTTATTACATTGACATTCATTTTTGTCATCAAAATATCCAGATCTTTTGAATGTTACAAAGGTAATAAAGTATTGTCTTGGATATCCAATATTCCCACTATTGGCTTGAAATTTTGATTTCCAAAGTATTTTCCTGAGTGCCCTATAAAGGGTTAATGAGACAAATCATAGAAACAAAGATAATGTTGCACTGATTATAGATTTTCGACAGCTTCTGGTTTAAAACCGCATGCTTTGCTTTGATTTCCTCTATTTTTCATTTAAAAACAATTGAGGTACCAGATTCTTAAACAGCTTGTGGGAGGAAATGTCTGTAAAAAATGCTCCTTGAAGCCGTGAAGCAGTCTTTCACTTAGGGAGCTCTCTAGTTCTGTAATTTTCATCTTTAGTGGATGATCTCTTCAGTACTTGGACATTCTGTTTTATAACCTAACCCTGCTTTGAACGATGACCTGTCTGGTTTGATCATTGGTCTTAAAGATGCAGTTTGTTCACTAATGTTCTCTGACAAACCCCACTGACCAAACAGGATGTTCAAAAGTGATAAGGTTCAAGGGATCCTGAGACTTGCAGTGCATAGCATAAAACCAGATTCTGTTTGTTGTGTAGCAGAGTTGAAAAGAAGAAGTATATGCTTTCATGTATTTATTTATTTTATGCGCTTTTATGTTGATGATCTCTCTGCCTTCTCAAATAAAGGCACACCGTGAACAACAAGGGAAATGTATCACCCATAGAGCCATTATGATCCTGCAGGTTAAACTAAATGAAGATTAGATGCAGAAGGATGTCCCCTCTGACTAAAGGTGAACAAACACAAAATATTCATTACTGTATAGAAGGTGCTGTTATTTACTTTGACCTACAGATCTACTCTCTGTTATTTTTGAAGGACTAGATGGAGAAAAAGCTGCATTCGTTGGAGAAGATTGAGGATGTCAAAAGGTCAGCATACCAGAAAGTCCAACAGGCAAGAGACGATGCGTCAGCTCTGCACAGAGAAGTGGAATTACCGGAGAATACTAAGGGAAATGTGGAGCAGTTTGAGCATTACTGGAGCTGGAATAAAACTATGAAGCATCAGGAAGCACCAGAGTCTGCAAATCATGTACCGGTATGTAAAAATGTCAACGAAGACACAGACAAGCAAGGACGGAGTGGAGTGAGAACCTAAACTCAGTTTAGGATAACCTTCAGCATCTATGTGTCTGAAAAAAGAGCCTGATGATGTTTATTTCTTCTCTTCCGCACCAGACAGAACAACAGAGGAATAAGGAGTACGGATTAGATAAGCAAGAAAGGTAAAAGTATACCATGATTCTAGTAGCTTGTTCCAGCCTTGTGTATATCTTTATCGTTTCCCACGATTGGATTGTTTGGGTTGAAAGAAATTGTGTATGGGTTTTTATTGGTTATTTAATTACTTTGTTGATATCTAATCTGTTGAGTCCCAAATTATCTAATTTTTTGAATATGCATTTCCCTTATTTACTTTCAAAACTATTAAACTGACAATATTCTTTTCCTAATAAGAAAAATGTGAATCATGAGAAAACCTAAAAAAATTGTGGAATGAAATAGTAATTTCACCTCAGATAGATTTAACGCGTCTTATTTGGTCTGTATCTGTTAATAAGAATGTGTCGCGACAAAGTAGACAGGAACACAGCTGATAGTCTATTAAATTCAGCCACAAAAAGAAGCTGAATTCTGATGGGTTACAGTAAGGTGGGTTAAAATGCCAGTGAGCACACAGCTTCCCCTACAACATGTATAAGAGAAAATAATAACACTGCTTTATGTTTCTCTGCACATTTTTTTCTCAGGATGGAGGATGTCATTACTAGTCTCGGCCAGGAGATGGCGATGCTGACTGACAAACTGACCTCATCAAAACACAGTGGAGTGAATTTATGTGCCAAGTTGGATCTTCTGAGGTAAATCTCCAAAAGTTGAATGTGTTTGTCTGATGACAAACCGACTGATGAAACTTGTTCTGAGTTAATTGAAGCACTCTGGATCAGTTTGATAAACACCCAGGTCTATTAAAATGGTCTTTCTTTGTAGAAATCTGGCTGAGAGCCAAACCTTGCTGGACCAATATAGGATCAGTGAACTGGAGTCAACCATTTCCAGCTATATCAATAAGGTAAACAATCAGGCTGGGATGTTATCAGAGTCGATGATAGAATTAAACAAATTGTTTACCACACAGTCAGCATGTAAACATTAGATTGTTGGATAAATGCTTCCTGTGTCATAATGAGTGTTTGTGACTCCTGTTGATGCTGTTGTAGGTTGAGTATCTGGAGAAGAGAATCCTTGAGATTCAGAATCAACTGTTTTCCACCCAAAAAGACAGAGACCAATCGCTGCAGCGAACAAAAGAGCTGGAGTCGCAGCTTCAACAACTTCAAGTATGACAATAAATCCTGGTTTACATCAGTCTGTCTTGCTGTGTTTTTAAAAAATCTTCTTACACTCTGTTGTTTCAGGAGACTCAAGCAAAGCAGTCAGAGTCTTGTAAACATCTGTTTTCCACATGCTATGCTTAAGTTCCAGAGCAGTGTAATGATATAAATATGTCTGTACAGATATAGTGATACTGGAATATTTATATTTGCAAAGTTAATATGTATTCTTCTGTTGAGTTAAACTTATCGGTGCATCCATTTCCGTATCTCTGTGTTTTAATCAGATCTATTTCCTTGGCAACCCTTGATAGAGCTATTCCTGCTACTGCTTTTAATATTTGTAGATGCTCAAACTTTGCCAGGAGCTTTCTTAGACAACATTTATTGTCATTTTGTATACACAGAGTGTATATAAAACGAAATTTTGTAAAGCTAAGCTGCATATTCTACCTGTTTAAAAGGGATTTTCCCTTTCCACTGTCACCACATGCATGCTAAGCATGAACGATGGTTAAAAAAGTAATGAATCAGAGCAGTTAGCTGTCCACTGTCCTCACTTGCTCTATGAGGAATTCCCTCCGTGTTTGTGACTAATAGAGCTTTGAGCAACGTCTTGTCATGACCTATACAGGTTCAAACCAAACAACAATTTCTTATCAGCTGAAAGGGAATCACCAGTCTGCAGTTTTGTAATTTATACAGCTTTTAAAACACTGATAGAAGGATGAATTTAAAAAGCAGATCATTAATTCTGACTCTGTGAAGAATGGCTCCGTTATTTGTGTGAGGAAGAATGGCAGAGCCTCTACAGCTGCAGTTATCTTCCATCATGATGCAGAAATCTTTTTTTTTTCTTTTAAAAAAAAAGTGGTTGCAAAGTGATACTTGGTTCAAGCTCTGAAGATTTAGCTCCATCGTCAGAACAACAGATGTCTGTTGCCATCACATCAATCAGCTGCTATATTTTTAATGTCTTAGAGAAAACGTTTTATTTCATCCTTGTTTTGCTGCTTCTCTTTTTTTGAGTTTCTTTGCTTTCCCGGTGTCTCTTCACTGTATGTGATTCCATCATTTGGTAACTTTTTTCTTTCCTGGACTCTCTTTGGTTTTCCATGATGCTCTTTCTGGCTCCGGCTTTCCCTGTTGGA